ACTCTGCTTACCCGGCGTTTGAAGCGTGTCAGGTACCTCCGGCCTGGATGAAAATGCCAAGTACTTTTAAGTCATATAGAGAACCCCAAATTTCTCAAAATGGTTCATTCAATATATTCATTGATTGATGACTGCCAGTTTCTAGCACAGCATGGACACCGCAAATAAGATGAAATTCTGCTGGGTGCTTTACTGGTTGCTGGGCGCCTACGTGCTTCAAGCTGTAAAGAAAGGAACGTGCAGTCTTACCAAGGTATATAGCTAACTGAAACCGAAGTTATGCAGACAAGAATGGCACACCTGAACATTCTGCGAGTACAGGGCGGCGGCGGCGCAGGCGGCGGGGTCAAGGGTCACAAAACACACCGCGAGGCCGTGACCCTTCGGCATGAGAAGCGTCAGAGGGGGTTGTTGATAGTAACAATTAACTTATTACCTAAGTAGATGAGACATAAGTCTAAACTCCAAGTTATCATTTGCTCAACACCTGAAATGGGCAGAGTCGGTTTAAGAATATTGCAAAACAAGTGAAGTATCAAAGCTAAAAGTGTTCCATGAGTGGGATATCTGTTTGTAATAAGGCAAGACATTACAAGCAGTTATACAAGTTGATTGTAACATGGTGGGAAGGTAGTTTCTCTAGACTAACACATCTAAGGTAACAGTGGCATTTTCTTACTCATCTTTAGAAACCCCAATCCTGAAAAATCCCATAATAGTAACAAAAGAAGATATAAATATTTTGAAGTCTATGTGGATGAGTGTAGTAGATGCCTTTATCTTTCTCAATTATTGGTATATAATATGGCATGTTAATCTAAATTAGCAAGCAAAGCATTGAAGCCTAAAACCCTAAACATGTGTATATGCTAACCAGACATCAATACATAGAGGAAAGGGGCATTGAAATTGCATTGGCCATTTGCAAATCAGTAATCCACAAAACTTATCCTACGATATAGACCTTGCAATATTTAAGTAAAAGATTGAACGAAGACATTATAGAGGGAACAAGAACTTTCGGTGGCGATAGCCCATCCACGAAAACTCTGGGACCAGCACAGTTGTTTTCTGTAGTATCAATGCTCCTTCATCTGCATATTCTGAATAAAATAGAACAAGCACAACGATTGAAGTAATATTTGAAGCTTAAAGAAGCAATGGTCCATAGTGCTAGAATAAACAAATGATCTGAGCACAGAGTACCATTGGCTAAGCATGCATGCAAAAGAATGGAATGTTGTTGCACTGAACCTGTTGCTCCTGTCGAGATGACTGACTGAGAAGAATTCCTGAGATGCTGATTGCCTGATTCTGTTAGCTTTGCTGTTGTCAAATTGCTGGGCACCAAAACAGAAAGGTGTCGTCCAGCTGTTTTGCTATAGTACAGAAAGGGGTCAAGCAAGCTGCTACCTCTGGTCTGGAAATGAAAGGAGAATATGTTGTGGCTCATTGATTCCTCATTTCAGATATTTGCATGAACATGTCACATTGTATTTTTCTCAATATCCACAAGTTACGTATTTTTGTAACACTTGCACAAGAAGCTTAAAAATGAAACAGCACTTCCCTAATGAGTTTATTAATGGCAATGTGCTCCTGATAAAAACATTATCAAAACTTTGTAATGAATACCAAAACTATGGCATGATAGATTAAAATAATTAATTGCCTGCAAGTCTACCATTTCATTCTGCAACCAAAGAAAACACATAAATATGAGCGTCTAAATAAGCACAATCCTAAGAAGCTCATTCTCTTTATCCAAATCAGAACAGGCCCCATTAAGTTTGCTAAGATACTGTGATATGATTACAAATGCTAATATGTACCAAAGAAAAAAAAAAAGATCCGTGCTTTACTTGGAATGATCTCTATAGAGGTGCCTCGACTGCAAAGATTTGGACCAAGAATAGAGTAGTGAATACCTGGACAGGAAGGAGGCGATGCGGCATCGTGGACCGGATCTGAAGGAGGACAGGAGGCAGTGAGTGCTGAGATGGAGGATGGAGGCGGCGGTGGTTGATGCTGGTGATGCGGGTGAACAGGGCGTCACAGCGGAGGCCGAGGGTCTGGTTGAAGAGGAGTTCCATAGTTCCGTGGTAGTGATGGAGCCCGGCCGGGGATCCTGATGAAGACGAATGTGGTGTAAGCAGTGGCAGCGGTGAGAGCAGGGCGGCCGCCGCGGCGGGCGACGGCGATGGCAGGGCGGCGGCGGCGGCGGCGGCTGCGAGGGCACAAAGGCACCCTTCGCGTGGGGTGACCGGGCGGGTCAGGTGACCGCTTCGGCGGGCATGGGGACGGGGGCCGGAGGGGCTGTGCAATTACTATACTACCGCTGGATGAATAAAATCAACCAAAACGGCTATTTTGCGGAGGCCTTGGAGGTGTTAGGAAGCATCCCCAACCATTGTAAAAGATGTTTAAACAATCAAGAAATATATGTACATGCTATACAAGAGAACTATATATAGACCGGGCACTTGCGAAATGTGCTAGAGAGTTCCGGTTCTGTTCTTTTCTTTATAAGTGACAAATTTTTGTAGTAATTTAATTTATTGAGCAAGTTTAATAGCAGATTAATTCAGCATATGGAAACAGCCGGTTGTCTGCTCCCCTGTTTATATGACGCTAGAGGCCGCCATAAAATCCCTTAACCCTTTTTTTTAAAAAAAAAAAAGACCTGAACATGCCAATGAGTTCAGTATGATCCAACAAATTTGAACAAAAGCCGATGATCAGAGGACTTTATATCCCAATGACACCTACTGCTCTTTCTGTTTCTTGGGCTAGGTGTAGTGCAAACCGAACATGACAAATAGTTGTGCAAGCTCGTATTTATGAAAGATGCTAATGTTTCATGCATCGTTTTCCTCTGGAGATGCCCTGGTGCCCTGCATGTGCTCTTAAATTAAGAAAATGAGTAGGACAATGGAGCGCTCTAAACTATGAGCAATTTTTTATATCATTGAAGATTTGCAGTTGATTTTGTCTCGTATCATAAGTTTGAAAGAGATGCGTGGCTTGCCCCTCCTACGTGTGGAGGGCCGTCCTACACCGCAGCAAGCACTCCGTGGGGGCTTGAATGTGCATTGATTCGAGGAGGAGAAGGGGAGAGGCCTGGGTGTCCATGGCGGCAGCCAGCTTGTGCTCGGTTTTGCGCAGAGAGGAAGAGAGCAGACGGAGGTGGGAGAAGCGCCTGACATGCGGGACCCAGCTGGCAGAGAGAGAGAGAGAGAGAGGGCGTTGGCGGGCCGGCCTGCTGGGCTTGGCTGCCCGCGCAGCGAACAGGCCGCTGGCCCTGGTGAAGGGAGAGAGCGTGCTAGGGAGAGCTAGGCCGGCTAGGTTTCGTCCCAGAGAGTAGGGAGGGAGTTTAGAAACTTTTCTTTTTTGGTAAAATCATTTGAAGCTCAATTTCAAATCTATTTTTAAAACCAAATAAATTTCGAAATTGTTTTAGAATCCTTGTGTTTTGAAAAATCAGATAGAACTTTTGAAATAGGTTTTCCAACTTGGTTTCAAAAGAAATTCAAATATTTTATTGTATAAATAGAGCAAAACCGATTCACGTCTAAACCAAATTTTGAAAATCATTTTTTCACACAAAAAAATTAAATACAAAGACATGAATGCAAACAAACAAATCTAATTAATTATAAATGTTTTTAGGAAACCATATTTTCTAGTATTTAAATTGTTATCAACCTAATTAAACCTTGGAAAATTTTACGAAAATTATTAAATTATTTATTTTATTTAGTGTTTTCTATTCACAACCCAAAATAGAAATTTTGGGGTGTGACAGTCTAGTTGCTCCATCAGCTTTTTTCATTTTGTGGGATGATTTTCATGGCATGGCACTACATTGCCTCAATATATCCCATGCTCTTTTTGTCTCATCTCAACAATGTCGTGGTCGAGTTTCACTGAAGGACGTACCGGCGACTGGCTCCTACTATAATAGTTAACTACTCTCTTCGTCCTGAATACAATGTTTCCAAACAATTTTCGGATAAAATAAGGATCTTGACAAATGACCATCTTGCTCCTCACTAATTACGATGAAGGGACTAGTTTAGTTGTTATTTTCACAGTAATTAGGAGACAAAATCATTGAGGATGACAATTTTTTTTATCTTGATATTGTTGATATCTATTTAAACAATCAAGAAATATATGTACTCAAAAAATTTACTTTTTATTTTATTAAAAGAAGATTCTTGATCTTATACTACCCTCTTAGTTCTTATGATACCATAAATAGTTATTTCAGCTTGGACCGTGGTAGCCAACGAATTATACGTGTTGTGGTATTGTTTATAAAACATATAGTTCCTAAAATGAATTACCAATAGAAATATGACATAAATTTTTAGTAAAATGTATAAACTTATATAAAATAAGAACTTATGAAATTTATTATCATGGACAATTAATATAATTTGAAGTGAACTACTAGTGCGTCATTGCTATGCGCGGTTTCTTAATCGTACATTTTCTACAATTGATAATCTATCAGAACAAATATGTATTCTAAAGTATAGACTTTTAATTATTCTATATGTCTGAATATAGCATAATGTTTACTTTATCAGAGTCTTGGTTTCCACAATCTGGCCTCAAATAGATTCTGGATTCCATAATCTGATCTGATTCTTAAGCTTTTGGATTTTTAGCTTGGAAAATCCGTGAATCCATATTCCAGAAGCTTAACCTGTTTGGCAGGGCTCCAATTTTTGTGACTCTCTTCTATCAGCACATCTAATGAGTACGTATATATGATAATTCCATGGTTGTTAACAATCGTCCGTGCATTTATTTACTTACAGATTTCGTTGAAGAACTTGTGGGTAGACGTTCTAACATTGCCAAAGATCTGGCTATACAAGAGGACAAGAAAAAAGGCAGTCCAATGCAGCTTACTGCACATTTTAACAGGGTTTAAATTTTAAAAATAATGTTGGAATTTGATCGGTCCTTAGGGTATCAAATCTCCACAGATGGTATTCCTCTTCTTCATACTGCTGCAGAGCGAGGCCATGTTACTGTTGCTCGAGCACTTCTTGAGCATTGTCCAGATGCTCCCTACTGCAACAACAACGGCAGAACATGTCTTCATATAGCTGTAGAGGAAGACCAGATAAAGTTTGTTGAATTTATCCTTGAGAAGAACTCAAAACTTGGGAAACTTGTTAATATGCTAGATGGTAACGGTGACAGTGCTCTGCATCTCGCAGTTGAAAAGTGCAATCCGAAGATGGTCAGTGCTTTACTGGGTCACCCTGACATCGACATCAGTGTTATTAACGAAAATGCTTGCACAGCAATCTGGAAATTAAATGAATTCGAAGACTTGTCCAAGACTATAAACTGGGTACGCATGCTCTCCACAAACATAATACTTTCAATTTGCATTTTGGTAGAAATGATCACGTAGAAGAGACGAATCTTCTGTGTGACTTACAATACGATTCAACTTTTCCAGTGTTGCTGACGTTGTCCACAGCATAAAGTTTTGACCTAGTTCACTAGTTGCCAAAGAATTATTTACACTTCGTTTTAGAGATGAAGTACCATTCAATAATGTAGAAGTTAAGGATTTGAGTTATATGCACTCTCTGGGCATACGCGCCTTCAGGGCCCATAATTTAAAATGATCATTACTATAGAACTTTTTGTCGATACAATTTGCTTGCTTAAACTCGAAACAACAATAAATAGTATGTTGTTGTTTTCTTTTTCCTAATGTTTTCTGATTCACGATAAAATAATAAATTTCATGACAAAGCATTGAGTAACGTAGTAATTCTGGAAAATGTGAAGACAAAGCATTGAGATTTTTTTAGCCCAATGTTTTCTCTTTTGCTTTTTTTCCTGTATTAGTCCATACACTACGGGAGAGACAAAATTCCCCGAGTGTCGCTGGCTTCCCCGAGTGCCAAAAATCGGGCACTCGGGAAAGAGAATCTTCCCCGAGTGTTGCACTCGGGGAAGAATTGCACTCGGGGAAGAGAGGCTTTCCCGAGTGCCGTAGAGATCCTGCACTTTCGGTAAAGATTAGCACTTTCAAAAGGCCCTCTTCCCGAGTGCAACACTTTCGGGAAGATCGGCACTCGGCAAAAAGAAACATGTTACTCGACGGTTCACCCATACGCCGTTAAAACTTAAAAAACAAAATTCTTCCTCGAGTGCCGGGAAGGCACTCGGGAAGAGGCCCTTCCCAGTGTCGAGCAGGGACACTCGGGAAGAGGTGCCTTCCAGCGTGCCCTATCACGGCACTGGAAGGCCTCTTCCCAGTGCGTGGAAGGCACTCGGGGAAGAATTTTTGTTTTTTTTGTTTTTTTTACTTCATTTTTTTGTGAGGCCTTCCCACATTATTTGAAACTGTCTGTTCAAATTTGGGACAATTTTGACTTTTTTTTGTTATATTTCGTTAGTTTTTTTCGTTTCGTTGAATTTTTTTGCATACTTCGAATTTGAACTGCAGGTGCATGAAATAATAGAATTTGGTGATTCAAAAAATTATATTAATGATATTTGGTGTATGTTGATGCCTTATCCAGGAACTCGCATGAAATGTCGAGCATCTTGTTGACGTAACATGACGAACAACTTGCGGGGAAAGTGTATTTAAATTATATAAAATCCGAACGAAGTCCGAAAATCGCGAAACTTGTCTGGGCGTCGTGTTATCGCATGTAGAGGCTATGATAAAAAATCGAGAAGGTTTCGACGAAGTTGCGACGTCGGATGCCTAAAACCCAGACATCTCCGCATGCCTCTACAAGTGATCACATGCGGAGATGTCTGGGTTTTAGGCATCCGACGTCGCAACTTGCTCGAAACCTTCTCGATTTTTTCTCATAGCCTCTACATGCGATAACACGACGCCCAGACAATTTTCGTGATTTTCGGACTTCGTTCGGATTTTATATAATTTAAAAACATTTTTCTCGCAAGTTGTTTGTCATGTTACGTCAACAAGATGCTCGACATTTCATGCGAGTTCCTGGATAAGGCCTCAACATACACCAAATATCATTAATATAATTTTTTTAATCACCAAATTCCATTATTTCATGCACCTGCAGTTCAAATTTGAAGTATGCAAAAAAATTCAACGAAACGAAAAAAACTAACGAAATATAACAAAAAAAATCAAAATTTTTCCAAATTTGAATAGGGAGTTTTAAATAATGTGGGAAGGCCTCACAAAAAAATTATGCACAAAAAACAAAAAAAAAAAATTCTTCCCCGAGTGCCTTTCCCCGCCACTGGGAAGAGGTTTTTCCTCCGAGTGCCGGGACAGGCACTCGGGAAGACTTAAAAAAAAGCCCAGCAGGCCTTATCTAAACCTAACCGCCACCCCACACCCACACCGCCGCCGCTGCCGCTCGCTGGCCCAGCGCCACCGCGCCCCTCAGCCCCGCCGCCGCCAAGCAGCTTGCCCCAGGGCGCCTTGCCCAGAGCCCCTGCTGCTGCCGCAGCTAGCCCCCTGCGCCGCGCCGCCCGCAGGCCCCTGCCGGCGCTCTCTCTCTCTCTCTCTGCCTGCGACGACTGGGCTACGCCGCGCCGCCGCCGCCCCTGCGTCAGGAGCCGGAGGTCTTCGTTGGACCCTTCGCCCACGACGAGCGTCCGCCAGGTTTTCCCGCTCGCACCATTTCCCTTCTCTTCCTGATGTGCTAAACCGAGCACCCAAAACCTAACTTAATCGGCTGTGCATGTGTACACCCATGTCCTTCACCGGTTCCATCCCTGTCCGTAGGCTGACGGCGATGGCGATGGCGGAGGCGACGGAGAGGAGGAAGCGCGCGACAGTCGTGGTACTGGGCGACATCGGTCGCAGCCCGCGGATGCAGTACCACTCCCTCTCGCTCGATAACCAGGTCCACTCCTCCTAAATCCACCATCTTGTTTTAGCAGTGTTTCGGTTAAATTGGGCAGGGCTGCACTCGAACCGTCTCTCCAGCTTGCTGCGCGCAGTTGATTGCTTCCGCAGTAGCAAAAAATTATCTATTGGCCATGGAAAGATTTTGGAGTGACGTGAAGGAAGGAATAGTCCTTACAGTTACCTATCCGATGTTCAGAACACCAAGCATGCAATACAGGAGGGGAAAGAGATAGCCATGAATGACACGGCAACTAATGCCAAGAAGTTTGAGGAGCAGAGATGTCTAAATCATTGATACAAATTATACAACACATTTCTTTTCTTTGAGTGCAAAGATCTTGTAGAGTTCCAGACATCACAAATCTCTTATTTAGTAAAGATAATTTTGAGCATACAGTAATCCAAATAGACCTCCATACATTATTATTTTTTACATTCATCAGAGGTATATTTTTCTGAAAAAAAATAAAGATAGTCATATGATAATTTCATTAGTGAGAGAGATTAATCAAGGAAAGAGAGAGTATATATATAGGAATAAAGTACTGCCTATGAATTAGCATATACCTGAAAATCAACAACTCTGTGTAAATATAGAAATCATAGAAAGGAGGGAGAGAATCCAAGGTAGCATGTATCGCTTGATTGACATGGAAGAAGTCACATTATAGTCAAAATATATTTCTGGTAATCCATTTTACCCTGATCGTTTATCTTCTGTTAAGATTAACATAACATATATAACTTGGTGTTCCAGAATTTTGTTCCTTTACTTGAAAATATCTGTTAATATAGTAACTTGTTCTGTATTCTATAGGTTTGAGAAGCACTTTGGGCAGATGGCTGATGGTGCCTTTTGTGTTACAAAAGCAATGCAGCATGAGCTTGCTCAAAATTGGGGAATCAGGTAGACTGATCAAACTTAAACATAGTTTTCTCCATATATATGAAGGACTGCTGTTCACATTCTCTAGTCTGCAATTCCAGGGCGACAGTTCTTTATGATCAATCTCCTGATGTTTTCCACCCTGCTTCATTGATGGAGAAACATGGGGTGAGCATTTATTTTGAGTTTTCATTCCTCCTTCCAGTACCACATGTGACCTGAAGACACGTAATAGTTGTTTAGCAGGCTAGGGAATTCCATCTGTAGTGCTATGGGCAATGCTGATTGCATATCAGTGGGTATGTTTTTTCTTCAGTTAACCAGAGCATTTTGATGTTTTGTGCTTATTTCACTTCAATTTATTTCTTGTTGCCTGATCATACCACCACCACCACATCGTCTAGAGTCTACTCCGGTGAGTATGAGTACGGATGTTTTACTTTCTTTGCTCATGCTTAGTGTCAAACCTAGTGATGGCCTTCGTGCCGGATTTGTTGATGTGTCGGCCTTCGTGCCGGAAATGTGGTTGTCGGCCTTCGTGCCGACGCTTTTCTTGCAGGTTTTGGAAACCTCCCCGTGCAGGGGAGGTGCTGCCGAAATTTTCAACTTTTCTTTAAACTCCTTACATTTTTATCTTGTCACTCACGTGCAATCTCCTCTCTTTTTTGCAGCATCAATCGGGGGCGGCGTCGAACCATGTTGAAGGGTCGCCGGCATCGCACGTCGGGCCATCCCCACCTGGACCGTCGCCGGGATCGCACGCTGGGGCGTCCCACCCCTCACAGTCGCCGTGAGCCGCCTTCGGAGTCGTTTTTATGTATTGAACTTGTGAACTTGGAATAGTGTGTACTTTTGAACGTGTGGTTTGTAATATATTGTGGATTTCGGACAAATTTGGTCGTTTGTGATATATAAATGTGGTTTGTGATATATTGGTGTTGATTTGTGGTTTGTGATATATATATATATATATATATGCTTTGTTGTTTACATGGAAAAGCAAAAAACAAAAAAAAAAGAATTTTAGAGGTGGCTTCCCCGAGTGCCTATGCTGTGGCACTCGGGAAAGAGGGATTTTTAAAAAAAAAACAAATTTCTTCCCCGAGTGTCTGAGCTGTGGCACTCGGGGAAGAGTATTTAAAAAAAAAATTCAAAAATCTTTCCCGAGTGTTGCACTCGGGGAAGAAAATCAAAAAAAAAAACGACGTCGGCCGTCGGCCAACGGCGTCAAGTCTTCCCCGAGTGCCAATACGGCACTCGGCAAAGCCTTCCCCGAGTGCACGATTTTTGACACTCGGGGAAGGCGACTTTCCCGTGAGAGGATTAGCCGGAGGCTCTTCCCCGAGTGTTGCACTCGGGGAAGGCTTCCCCGAGTGCAACTGGGCCTTCCCCGAGTGCAACTGGCACTCGGGGAAGCCAGCAGTTCCTGTAGTGATAGATGGCATAATAGCATAAGAGCCCTACGTGCAACTTTAATTTGACTAAAGCGCTCCATGGCGCGCCAGCCAAGAACCATGGTATTTGTGTAACTGTATAGTTTTTTTTGAGGCAGATCATGGTATTTGTGTCCATATACAATTTGGTGGCTACAGTCTCATCATTTAGCTCCGCTATTAGTTGTTTGAGAGGCCATTCCATGGATGATAGAACTGGAGTTTAAATCAGTGATTCACATATGACCATCGGTTGTGGCTAGAGGATGGAATATGCATGGGTCAGTCTTCACATGCTTCCTAGCTCTAGGACATAGGGTATGCTCGCTCCACAGAACCGGAGTCCAGTCTAAAGGATTCTTTGGGTTGGACCCACTCACATGTGTATCTGTTATCAGATTGCCCTTCACAAGCCTCACTATTCAACTGGTGGGTCATGTATAATTAACATGCGAATTGAGCTACGTGTACGTGAGCATGTGCCTCTATAAAATGCTATAAGCATCAACCTGTGCCACCGAACACTAGTAGAAAAAGTGGCTTTAGTCTGGGGTGGGAAAGGTCTTTAGTCCCGGTTTAGGGATCCGAGACCCGGTTACCTGACCGGGACTAAAGGTCCTCCGAGCCTCCCACCCATGTGACACATGAGACTAGAACCCAAGACCTCATGCATTGTCTCACACGTAGCTTTCCGCTCCACCTACACAGCACATGTGATTCACATTAGTCCCAGGCTCAAATCTAGCCGGGACTAATATGCTGAACCAAAGGTCTGTTCTCTACTAGTTGAAGGGGATCCGAATTCCTTCTCACCTACGTAACTTCACACTATTTTGTGAGCAATTCAAGATAGCTATATTTTTTAACCACATACCTACACATATCCAGGATCTTTCATCACATATAACATTTCTCTACTGCTGGACTACACACTATTTTGTGAGTAATTAAAGATAGCTATGTTTTTTATCAACATTTAATAATCTTGTATTGAATATTTCAACTTCTAAAAGATTTCAAATGAAGAAAGCTTCAACTATAAAGTTTCAGGTCTCATTGGTCTCTGCAATTTTGGTAAAGGGTGTGTCTACATCGAAAGGTGTTTGAAAAATTTAAAATGTAAATATCAAAATTTGTGAAATTAAAACAATTATTTTTGACTCTAAACAACTTCGAATAAAAAATTTATCAATAATAAACTTGTAGACTAGGTCGGCCACTAGAACATTAGTATTGACCACGTAAATGTTCAAGGTTCCTTAGAAATTCTATTTTGAATTTCAAAGTCTAATAAGAACTTAAAACACATATTTGGAACTCTAAACAACTTCAAATCAAATACATTCAACTAGAAATATGTATGTTTTATTGATAACTAAAATTTTCGTACATATCCTGACAAAATTTCAAACATCAAAATTTGAGAACATAAAATATATTTTGGGACTAAACAGTTTCAAATAAAAAACATCTCAACTAAAAATCTGTAGATCGTACCGAGGGCAACAATTTTAAGATAAAGTTTATCTTCATCCGGTTTCACATAGAAAAGTTATTGATTATTTTTGCACGTAACTATTGTTAGAGACAGTTCTCTTAAGATGTCCACCTCTGTTCATCTATTTCCATAGATAGACCCGTAGAATACCCACGTCTTAAAAGGGCTTCGATGTGCCCGCCTCTTGAAGGGCTTCCATGTGCCCACCATACACGTGAATATAAAAGGCCGGCGGATAGAACATGTCCAAAAAAAAAACTCAGCGGCAATAAATCCTGTGTGGCACTCATCATTAAGGATGGCAACGGGGTGGATTCGGATCGGGTGGAGTCTCTGTGCACCCGAACCCAAAACCCGAAACCAAAACCCGAAACCGCACCGAACACCGATTCGGGTGATAATCCGTCCCCAAAACCGAACCTGCGGATACCCGAAACCCGAATGGATATCCGAAACCCGCTTTGTATGGCAACATAGTAAGAGAAATAAGGACTTTTTATAAACATATGCATGATATATATACACATATTCACATGTATAAACAAGAGGCAACAAATAATAAATATTTTCATGAGTCAACTTAGAATAAATTTAATAATATAAGTAAATAAGTTATTATTAGCATATTATAAAACATGATTTTTAATTCCAAATGATTTATTTCGGATATCCATTGGATGTCCACGGGAGAAAAACCAAACCCGAAACCGAACCCGATTGGTTTCGGGGCCCCGAACCCAAAAACCGTGGGTAAGAAATCATTGACAAAGAAGCACCTTGGAACCAATAATGGCTGCATACGTACACTAGCATATTTTTAGAAAATGGAAGATAACTTTTCGCCTCTAAGTGTCCGCACACAACGTTTACATTATTGCATAGTTTCGGAGGCATTGGTGATGAATTAGGGAGACAAGAAATGCAAAAATTATGTATGATATAGTCTACTATGAAATTCTTATCCATGAGAGGCAAACAACTCCAACATAATGGTCTCTAATTTTATGTGAACTAACAGAAAATACTCATTTGTTTCATCATCAAGCTGCAGCAATGCCTATGCTCGCTGTCAATATGTTCCCTAAAGATAGCCTGCATAAAAGATGTATATTTGCAATTTTCAAATATTATCCTAACATAATGCGGCAACCCCAACCATAATATATTTCCTCCTCCATATTGTCTCAGCGTAATAACAATCAAAGAAAAGATGTTTTTTTGCTGTCTTTCCAGTTCCACTTAGTTAGGTTGTTCATTGTTAAACTACCCTTTATCGAGATACCAAAGGAAATTCTTGAATATTTTAGAGGAAATTTTAACCTCCAAATCAATTTTATGAGAGAAGAGTGTATATTTTGATTTATCATGTGAAGATACATTAGCCATCAATTGACTGTTATTATGTAAGCTCCAAATAAACAAATCTCTCTCGTAAGTTAAGTTGATATGACTGATCTTAGCTACTATATATATTTCCATTCATCGAGTTTATCCCCTGCCAGAGATCTCCAAAATGTAATATTCAGTGGTGTTGATCTCATAACATTAGCCACATATAATTAAATATGCTTCATTGCACAGTATGTATTTTGAATGAGTTTGCATGTTTCCACCTACATATAGGTTTACACTAAATATTTTGTTGTAGTTTCCACCTAAATATTTTGTAATACACAGTATGGTCACTAAGTTGGCTTATGGAACAATGGCTTCACGAAACAACAATCATTTTTCCTAAGTTCAATTCTAGGAGACATCGTATAAGATTGCTTATGTGTACAATATCACTTGCCCGTACACCAGTCTGCTATTTTTTTTAACGTATTTTCATTGAGTATAGTATTACATTGAGATCTAATTGTTCCTTCCTTTGAATACGTGCAGAATAAAATCTTTTTGGATATATACGAAGCCGATCCTATAGCAGAAACTGACATTTATAATCTTCATGTGGAAGTGAGGAAAAAAGTAATTAAAGCGTCAAGGAAAGATGCTAAATCTCTGATTGAAACATATACAGGCAACACATCTTTAGGGGCTATCCTCATAGCGACAATTACCTTCGCTGCAGCTTTCACATTGCCAGGAGGATACAGCAGTGAGGTTGGAAGTGAGGGGCTACCCATCATGGTCAGGAAGCTTGCATTTCAAGCATTCTTAATCTTTGACACTTTAGCAATGTGCTCCTCCCTGGCTGTAGCCTTCATATGCGTCATAGCAAGGTGGAAGGATTTTGAGTTCTTGTTACACAATAGATTTTTCACAAAGAAGCTTATGTGGTTTGCATACATGGCAACATCCCTAGCATTTGCAACTGGTTTATACACAGTTCTGGCAGGTCGACTTCATTGGTTGGCCATTGCAATTTGCGTTCTATCTGCATTGCTGACTATTCTTACGATGCTGATTGGTGAATGGCCCATCTTGAAGCTGAAAAATAGATACCGTAGTACTTCATTCAACTCCGATTTCCTTGACTTGGTCTGACCTCATGAACATGCCTGATTGGTTCGTGGGACAAAGATTTCCTTCTACTTTTCAGTGTAACTGCTCATGATTATTCGAGATTGATCCATGGTGTTTTACTCTACCATGAATGGAAATTCAATAAAAGGTTCTGTGTTATCCTTAACTCAAACAGTTGTATATTTTTCCTTTTTTATCTTAGTTGGATTGCTGAAAAGACAATGATTCCTAGTAGTACAGCTGCGCACAGTAATGCAAAAGGCTGGAAAGTATTTCCATTTTGTACAAAAAAATTTCTTTTATCATTGTTTTTGGTGAACCAATGTGTTGGTTTGATAGTAATTTTAAATACTATATAGGTGAATGCCCAAGCATTGCAATGGTGGTGAAAATGTTTATGGGATAGCATGTCATGTGGACCAGCATCAAGTTTCCAAAGGAGAGTAGCAGTCTGTTCAGCTACACAGTAGCACCCAACCAAACTGGTGTTTGAAAACATCCAAATTGCATGAAAATGATTAGTGGCACTTTGGAAGTTAAGGAAAGTCGGAAATTGCAACTGAAAAGCAATTTTAACACATCAAGTTTACAAACATGTAGTACTGTTTGACAATAGCACTAGTGTCATAAGTAGAACATATTAAAATCAAGCTAAGAGACTGTACTATCATCAAATTCCAATTTTATGAAAACTCTGTCTTCCCTTACAAAAAAAAATTGAAAAACAAATTTCAGCACATAACTGGTGATGGATGCAATCAAATTGCTAACTGCGTTAGTTTTTTTCTCCACGACCATGTGAGTAAGCACTAGCAAGAGAATCAGATCAAGTACCTTGATTAAGATAACTGGGCTTTCTTGCAATTCAATATTGTATTGTATTATTATTGAAGTTAGTTTTCCCAGACCTGAAAAGCCGAGCAACAAACAAAAGAAGCAAACTACATGAGAATAGAAGATTATATCTGCAAGGAGAAGCAGAGTATTGGCATTTAGCCCAAGCACTTCTCTAAACAAAGAGACTTATCTTTCCCTGAATTAAAATACAATTACCGCAAGAGAAGCAGCAGAGTATTGGCATTTTGCATTTTTGCCGAACTCCTGGCTGCAGTAAGGCTAACAACACAATTACCGAACGCCCAATGGTCAATGACAGATGAAAAAAGTCAGAAAATGTGCTTATTTCTCAATCGGGTTATTTGCAAACAAACAGATTAAACACTGTTAAGGCAGAAAAAATAGGTGTGTCGTCTGCAGTGTGGCTGCGTACATAATATTCAGGCATCATACAGATTTGTCCTAAAAAACACTGCTGGAGCATATGGCCATACAATTGTGTGACTGAATGAAAGATGAAAGACAATGATTCCTAGTAGTACAGCTGCGTCAAATATATGAGACTAAAGCTGACGCCATTCCTTCATCATCGCTTCGAAGGATCTGCTTGTGACACCAGGACTTGCACACATGACTGTTTGAGACTTGAAAGACGATTCAATTAAGCAGCACAGCCGACTTATATGAGCTACCCAACACCAAACTCTACTGCTACCCAGACAATCAGGCGTAGTACACATGTTCGCCGTACGCCGCTCCCCAAGTCCACGCCGCCGTCGGATGCTCCACGCTCACCATTGTGCTCCCAGTGTAGGCAGCGCCAGGAGATGCAACTGGCATTAGTTGGTAACCAGGATGCCTAGCGCCTACTACTGGTCCGGTCACGCCATGACTTTGCATCGCAGCGCCTACGTCCATCTGTGGTGGCATTAGTTGGTAACCAGGATGCCCAGCGCTTACTACTGGTCGATCCGGTCACACCATGACTTTGCATCGCAGCGCCTACGTCCATTTGTGGCCAATACACGCCGGTACCACTGCTGCTATGATAACTCACATCCTGCTGGCCGTGGCGGAACCATACCGGGTTGATCTGCTGGTGTGCCAGACCTGCGTGGTACTGGATCTCAGGGTTCGCCACGACAGTGTCATATGACATGCCATCTATGACTTGCATGCAGTGCGGATCCATTTGACCGGCCCCGTAGATGCTCTCAGTCAGTTCGCTGCCACTTCTGCTTGTAATTGCAGTACCCACAACTGCGATGTTGCCGATGTCGGATGTCAATATGCCCTCGGCGGGATCCCACATCCAAACTGGAGCACTGCTGCCACTCAGTATGTTGTTCTCAGGAACAGAGATGGGTCCAGGCAACACATGAGCGGTAGAGAGAGCTGATGACCCCTGTGTGAAGCCACACACATTTGCAGCGTAGCTGACCTGTGATAGAACCGCTCAATTTATACAAGATCAAGTAAGGCTGACCCCGTTTAACACGTTGACGCGCGCATACTTTCACTTATATAAATCCGATAGTCCGCCGAGTGTCACGAAGGACCTCGGTAAATCAACATCACAACCAAGATCGCGTGATTATGCAAATACATATCACATACATAGAGTTGCAGCGAAAATAATATTATAATAGGTTCACAAATAATAATACAAGTTTGGGTTTCAAAACCGGTTAAGAGAAAACAACATAGCTTTCAATGATTACATTAATATAAGTTCCAAATACATTGCTAGAATAAGTGACCTCCTCCGACAAAAGCATATAGATGAGAAATAAATATAAAGTCACCGAGCGTACCGACGGTTAACCACCATCTTCAGCACGCCAAGAACTTTGCCTGCAACATGGCGGGATAAACCCTGAGTACTCGAATGTACTCAGCTAGACTTACCCGTTATAAACCAGAAATAAAGTGACACCAAAGAGTATGCAAGGCTTTATAGGTGGAGCTAGCTTGACAAAATTTCGTATAAAAGCCACTATTTGAGCTATACATTTTATAATTCGATAACCAAGTTAATTATAGCTATTCATCTCTAGATTAGCAACTAACCTGTGCCAAACATGTGGAATGTCATTTAGTAACAAACAATAGTAACCATAGCCGGTGTATCATTTCCATATTCATCATAACTATCAAATTCCATTAATTAATGCTACGTTGCTGCTGCTCAGTCAAGTTCTCACTATCCGGGAGAGACGGCGATTCGAATTGATTCCTACCCAGCTGGGGAATTTATTCCTAACACAAACTGAGGCACACCTGTGCCAAGGTAGCTTCAGGTCACCTTTGGTACAATTCAGGACTAACTTGCCGGTTCGATCAGCACCGCACCCTCAGAGATTCTACCAATCTGCCAGGAAGATCGAGACTCGAACCCGCCCTTGGACTCACGCCATTGGCTGTCCGCACATCCTTACTACCTCCGGTGTGTGCACTTCCACTTATCGGGGCCCGGCCTGAATTGAGCTACTCGGCTTCGCGATCGTATCATCGGATCTGGCCAGCTAAGTGCTAGGCATGCGTTCAACATGACATGAGGACATATAGCGAATCAGTCCTTAATTGACACCGATGGGGATAGATAGGCACCCAAGACCTCCATGCCTTGTTGCTTCCCTATCATGATCCCGTCTGGTCTGCTTTTATTTATCAACACATGGTTATTTCCACGATAGCAAATATAGCCACCCGTGCTTTGGTATCCACCTATATCTCGTAGGTGACAGGAAATCACCCGACTTCTACCGATCTAAACATTGCTAAGCATATATTCGATCCTGGACCCACATAGGGTTCAAGGTATATTTCTGGACAAGATAGTTTTATGTATCAAGTGGTTCCAATCAACTCTTATAACCTAATGCATCAAACATAATGGACTCAATTGATATTTATAAAAACATAGGAGGCTTAGAATGCTCCGGAGCTTGCCTAGAATCCAACACTAGGTTAGTGTTTATTAGATGACACTCACTTGGTGAGCATCTCCTGTTCAGGCATGTACTCTAGGGATCCTTCCATCTTTGGGATATGTCCACCAATACCATCTTCTGGTTCGATTCCATCATCATGTCCTTCACGTGGTGCATCTAGCGTACCTAAATGAGATGCAATAATGCAAGTGCATGAATATAAAGAATGGTCACATCATATTGATTTATGCAATAGAGAGCAAGTCATTCAACTAAGTAACTAGGGCTACATAATTTAGAGCATGCACCAGCAACATCAAGAATGGGAAATCAACTTAAGTGCATACATAGAATTTTCGACTTCCGTGCCTGTAGCACCTGGTTTTAAGAACAAAACTAGATACGCACCATATGTGAGACCAGGAAGTCAATTCTCATATATAGCTACAAATAAAGGTGTTAACATCGGAATTTGGAAGGAGGATATCAGAAGCTCGAGAGCTCCCAAAAATCATGTCAGCAAGGAATCAATTGCGTGCGGATCGGAACTAGCTGATTCGGATGCAGCACTAGAATTGGTTTTCTTCAAATAGCGCTAGCAGATAACGACAGAGGCTATGATTGGCGCTGGGACGAGGCATGCTGGACTCTGCAAAAAGGGAAAGATTAGAGTCCAAGTTATCTTAAGTTAGAAATGTTTTCATTTTTATGCCAAAGGTTGTAACAAATCGTGCTTGAGTAGGATTCATGTTTAGACTCCGTGTATAAATACCAAACCCTGGCTATTGTAAAAAACAACCAATCAATCAAATACAAGTCAATTACTTTTTTTGGCTCGGGCCACCCCTTACGAGTAGGAGTAGAGTAGATCTTGATGAGTTCTTCAGTAAGTACGGCTGCAACGATCCGGTAGACCTCCACTGCTTGTCTGTAAGTACCATCATGGTTTATACCTCTGTTCGTATGGCTACATCGATCCAGTCGACCCCCACAGCGACTCTGGTATAGGCTAGTTATCGACTCTTGTCTAATTCAAGTATGACCTATGTGATTCTGCCTCACACCCCACTGCTTGAATTAGATCAATGTCAAGTTATCGGCTCTACCTTGGTATGGCAGTCTTTGGTAGATTTATTAAGTTACCGATATTGCTTATTGCTTTCATTGTTTATCTAATTACAACAATATCACTCTGCCCGATTGAAATTAATCTGGATCGGCCTTATATCTTGTTTAACTCATCGTTTGCTA